TTATTCATGTTGACAAAATCCGACTATTCCACCGTCGAATCGGCCAACTTTTGGAAAAAAATTTCGTTTTTTGACGATAACTTCCAAACGGTTGGACTTAGAGGGGTATTTTTGGAACCATTTTGTAGGGGACGACGAGACCTACAATTTCCATATAAAATTTTATTGATAGCTTCAATATTTAACGAGTTATCGACGAAAAACGAAAAAACAGTTTTTTGCAAATTACTCGTAAACTATTGAAGCTAGCGAAGAATTTTTGTATGGAAATTGTAGATCTCGTCGAGCTCTACAAAATGAACGTATAAACATCCCCGTAGGACCAACCGTTCAGGAGTTATTGAGGAAAAACGAAATCTTTTGCCAAAAGTTGGCTAATTCGACGGTGGAATGGTCGGATTTTGTCAACATCAATAAAATGCCAAATAATCCTATGTAACTTGTTAAATACTCAAAGTAGAAGAAAAATACATAAAATCTTTGTTGTAGAAGACGTGAGGGCCTAGATTACTATCGTATAAAAAATTTTTCGCTAGCGTCAACAATTGATTGATAAATAAAGTTGTAGGTTTAGGTCGTGTGCAGAAACGACGAATGATTCCAGGAGAATTGTGCGGGAGTAATGACACGGCGATTCGACATGTAAAAATTAGATCTGGCGAAAAGTTTGTGTTTCTAGAGTCGTTTGAACGTAGCTCGGGAGGTGGTTGGTCGTTTTGCCACATGGTAGCACCAAGGTAGGAGTTATTGATTAAGCTTCACCAGCGAGGGTGCACGCGAAACGTTCGGCTTTACTCGCTTCTTTCGAAATCTGTCGACGAACGAGGACACTGTCCAAGTGATTTTGTGAAAAACTCAACGTTTCAACGAATCGTCGTCGATTCCCGCGATCGTTGATCAAACCTTCCAATACGAGGGTGAAAAGGGTTTTGCAAAAATGCGTACTGGCCTCTTATCAAGCCGTCGATCAAGGCCATAAATATCTTCTAGGGGTGAGTAAAATTTTTTGTTAACGAGGGAACGGAGAAACGAAGACTAAAGACCGTAAGGAATTTCAATGACAATCGAACGATCAGATTTTTCATCGATCATTCAACGTTACTGATGAAATCGATGATCGCGAGACACTGACCTTACCGGTTACCGGTACGATTAAATCATCTGCTGACAATTCCACAGTAGACCTAGGCGTTACTGGTCAGACGCGGCTACTAAAAATTAAACGCAAGACAGATTTGCACGAGTAGATAGATACACGCGGACGAGAACTGGAAACGGATTCATAAATGTCTATTTAATTTGTATCGGCCAGTTTTATTAGTTTACCAATGATTCGGGAAATCCGCGACGAACGTACTTTTTCGCTGGTACAGGAAGATTACATCGGTGCGTATGTCCGACGATATTATTACTGGTAGTTTGTCTCTTACAAAGGGAGAAAGCCTGAGAGAAAGTAGAAAGTACACGAATCGTTAGCAGTACCAAGTAATATTTGAGAGAAGAAGAAGAAGAAGAAGAAGAAAAGGAAAAGATAGAATGGAAATGGACTTGCGTAAGTACGTAGCCGCCGCGATGGAAGAGCAAGATTCCTGTTTGTCTACCGTAAACGTAAACTCGTGGTGAATCGTATATTCGTCGCCAAGGTGATACGTTCTATTCTCTTTACCGGGTACACCTCTTGCACTTGCTCTCTCTCTCTCTCTCTTTCTCTCTCTTTGTTTCTAGCTGCTCGCGTTACCACCGCACCGGTCCGACCTCGTCGAGAGAATAAATCCAGAATCGAATCGTCCGTATTTAAAAGCAGTCACTGATTCGACTCCTGACCACTGTATCGACAGCATGATTTCGTAACTTCCTCGCCTGTTTCATCGCGATCGGTCGCGTAGACCCGCAAAAAATGCGATTTCGAACGCGGAATACCCCCGGGGATGAATCGACGTCGACGACGATCGTGAGACACGGTTCGTCCAGTTTTTAATTGACGGTTCGACGATTGTTGCAGGACGTAGAGAAGGGCGAGGTTCGATCAAACGTCGGAGGAGTCTGTTCGCGGCCGACGTCTTCGTCGCGGACGTCGACGTCGGCCGACGGCAGGGTCGAGCTCGAGGACGAGCTAAGGAACAGCAGGTCGAACGCGAGCGTCGCAGTGGAAGTGGAAATCGGTACAACGGCGAACGATGAACCGATAGGTAGTTACTGATAGTCAGGTGATAGCGCGCCGGTCGAGCACGCCGGAGAACATGAATTCCAACGGATATTGCACGCGTGCATAAACGACGCGAGTACGAGTGATCGTGTCCAAACTCTGACCCTACGACGCGTATCGTACGCGTATAATAACGCATTACGTCTCAAGTATCGGAGTAGGTAAACAGCGAAGGTTGTTCCTTCGTTTCTCAGACTTTGGATAGACGCGCGACCCGATAAGTACGAGTCCTCGTAAAGAATTGCGAGACGCGCGCGACGCGCGCGACGGGTCGAAAAAGTCCGGGTCTAAACAGGCTGTATCTCTTGGAGTAGCTGAGTATAGGGAGCGTGTTCCGTTGTGTGCAGGAGCGGGGACGGAGGCGATCACGACGACGACCACGAAGACGAGGACAGAAAGGAGTGCGGCAGGCCGGTGGAAGGCAGTCGGCCGTCTGCTTCGTCGCCTGGCGCTCATTATGTTTCTCGTAGCGGGTTTGCTCGGATGCCTGGCGGTGCTCGCCATGTACGCAGGCCCCATTTTCCTCGTGCAATTGCTGGTCGTCATACTCGTCGCGTATTTAGTATCCGGCGGTCGTTTCCGATGGTTCTACGTCGCCCTGAAGACTGCGCCCAGGGACATTAAGTGAGTACGCCACGCACACACACGCACACACACACACACACCGGTTCTCTCGGATGCGTTTCCAGTTCGGGAACCGGGTCAATCTTCTTTTCCCGGCTCGCGTGCAGGCTCGTCGGCCCCGTTAGTCGAGTTTCTCTCGCGTTTCACGGATGGATCAGTGCTATAACGGTAAAACGTACTGCGAAAGCCTTCTCAATGGCGAGACTCTTTTACCACGACGCAACGGGAACGAATGACAGCGTATGCTGCAAACAATTCAAAATCGACTCGAATTAACCCGCGTTCTACCGTCGCCGTCGTCGTCGTCGTCGTCGCCGCCGCCGCCGCCGACGCCGCCGCCGTCGCCGCCGATCGTTCGAATGTAAAAATTTTTTAAAACGTTTCATCGTCGTACTTGCGGACAGGTTTATTCTTCTGCTCGTACGATTATACCGTGTTTGTTTTCAGCCGACGTTAAATCGGTAGAGAGAGAGAGAAAGATAGAGAAAAGAAAGGGAAAGTGAACCGTATAAATAGAAACTGGGATTCGTAGTAGCACGTGTGGGACATAGCTCTGTGAGAAGACCTTTCACAGCAAATATTTGTATTACCGATATAAGTAGATAATTGTTCAATTTTCATCGATGCAATTCTCTTATCAGCCGTCCGTCACCCGTTAGGGGAACCACGATTCGAGTCACGACACGATAAATAATGGCATGCGAAGGAGAGATGCTCCGTGTAACAATTTCATCGTTCGTCTTTGTTATACGACTTGTTTTCGACACTGAACGCGAGTAACGTCGGGGAGAATTGCATCGAGTTTCACGAGGGCACGCCACTTTCACGTAAAGACGGCATTGTCAAACAACCGACAGAGCAACTTGATTTTTTAACAGCGATTTTCAGGAAGTTCTGTACTCCTCGAAGATGTACCACGTTTACAAAAAAATGTTCGAGAACGATATCGAGACGCGTGCGTATGTGAGACAGAGAGAGAGAGAGAGAGAGAGAGACAGAGGAACACTATCGTGACTCACGTACGTCAGACGATTGCTCGGACGATTTTGATTTTTCCCTCGATGTTCGAACACCGTTCCTCACGTTCTACGCTCGAAAACATTTTATCCGTTTCAAAACAAGAATACACAATCTTATTTTTCAAGATTACACGCGAATTCGTAACTGAGGATAACGTAAATACGAGGAGTAACGTTGGCAATAACTCGACGAGAAGGTAATCAGGAGGTATAATTAAATTCAGTGGAATTTTCATCCTTGATCGGATGATATCGAGTCGTCGGGGCGACGCAAACATCGCGAATAAAACTGGTATCATAATCAAAGAGAGTAAGATCGTAGTACGCGGTTTAGACTGTTACATAACATCGATATTATTTCCACACTTACGATAAGATTGATCTATGTACTTTCCGTCCATAATCTCGATTGCCTTATGCGGTCAATTTACCGGCTTCCTGTTGCATATTTAATTTCATTCGTTTCGACGTCCTTCTTCTCCTCCTCCTCGACTTTTCACACGAGAATAATAATAATAGTAGTAGCATTGGCAACAGTGATAAAGAGTAATGAGAAAACTTTGGACTGTTCGGTAAATGTTACGACACGCGGTATCCACTCGATTTCTAATTAACGCGCTAATATGCGTGCCTCGTCCATTTTACAAAATCTTTACGACGTCTTTCCTGCCGCATAAATGAATCGCAAGTCGGTCCGACGTAATCGGTTGCCGATTGTTAGAATCGCTCGTGAAACGTGTACAAACACGAGGGACATTCAGTGCAAACAGTCAGTTTTAAGAAGGATGATGGATGGAAAATTGGAAAAAGAAAGAAAACTCGTCTTTTACAATACGTCGTTTCGACATTGATCGTTTATATCCGTGCGTGACTTAGGCTGTTAATGAGAGAAGATTAATTGCGGACAACAGCCTCCTGTGCATCGACTATTGAGAAACATGCCGAGTTATTTTCAATACACAAAACTCGTGTCGTTAACGCATTCGTCATTCATCATTCTCCCATCGAATTACCACTGTTCTTCGAGCATAATCAATCGCATTCTCGTAAACGGTTCAACGACTCGTGACACACCACCCAAGGTTATCAATTACTTAATTAATTACGATATCGAACGAGGTCCTGCCTGCGTGCCTGCCTGCCTGCCTGCCTGCCTGCCTGTCTGTCTACCTACCTATCTGTCTCACTGTCGCGATATCAAACAATTTCTTATCGCCTGTAATTGTAAATTCGTGGGCATCGTTCCATCCAAAATTCTCCTGTTCCTTCTTTTCTACTTCCACCACTTGATCGTGCATTTTACACGAGAGAAGTACGTCACGCGTGCATAAAACGTAGTTACAGTCGAACGGTTTAAAACGAGATGCGTAACGCACAAACCCATCTCGCCGCCGCTTTGACAGGATATTCGGACGACCGAGCACTTCAATATCTTTTAAGATGCACTCGGCTCTGATTCAATTGGCCAGTTCGCTTCCAAACCGTTCGTTCGAAAACGTTCTTATACGATTGTTTCGCATCAGAATCGTTCCTACGCTTTCTCCGATTGAATATTGAAGATGATCCATGAACTCTCGAGACCTCTGTTCGCGCGATTCTGTTTAATCACGTCGTAGACGAGTCACGTTGCGTAACGCGTACTCTCGTCCTTCCGCTTGACAATGAATTTTTCCTGTCTCTTCCTACTTACGTGCACAGATTGATTTTCTAAAGAATAATCAGGACCGTTGAGTACAAGAACGGGAGTAGTGCTCATCCCGTGCAGGAATACCAGCGGCGGCGGTCAATCATTTTTCATCGAATACCGATTCCGATTTCTTAAATGGAAAAACATCTTACACACGTTTATAGTGGAAAACAATTGTTTGTTCGATACGTTGCAGGGCGATATGTGGGTACATAAAACTCCGTTGGATCATTCGTTCGCACGAGAAGAAGAACAGAAGCGTGGCAGACGTATTTCAACAGCATGTCCGACGGCACCCGAACAAAGTTTGTTTCATATTCGAAGATCAAGAGTGGACGTTCCAACAGGTAAACAGAATTAAGCAGATTAAATTTAGCAGATGACAGACGGTCTTAACGAAGCAACGGGCAAAGTTCTATGAATGGTATGACGAGCGGACACGATGAAATTTCAGGTGGAGGACTACAGCAACAAAGTAGCGACCATGTTCAAGACACAGGGATACAGGAAAGGAGACGTCGTCGCAATATTTATGGAGAATCGAGTGGAGTTTGTGGCCATTTGGCTGGGCCTCAGCAAGCTAGGAATAATCGTGCCACTCATCAATACGAATCTTCGTAAAATCGCGCTTCTACACAGTCTCAAAGTGTCCAAGTGTCAGGCTCTCATTTACAACGCAGAGCTCGCCGATGGTAAGATACGAACCATTCATTCATTCTTCTGCCTCGTGACGACCCCAGACGTAGAGATCGCTTGCCGAAGAGGCATCCACAGAATTCGATCGGTATCGAAATATGTAACGCGAAACACGACTGCTGTGTGGTACGTCCACTGCACCGTCCAAGATGCAGTAGCATCAATTTAATAAATGCAACGGGCAATCATTGTGAAACAGTTGATTATGCATGCGAACAGTGTTTAACGTCGCAACGGACATGGTACACCGCCGAATCAGCGGGCGCGTGCAATTGGAACATCACGCGCCCGCTGATTACTGACTTTGTGACGATCGATTCACTGTCGAGACTCGTCGATTGAAAATTTTCACTGTGGAAAAAAGGCGTGGTGTATAACTCGTGTGAGTACGGCATCGATCGAACATTGCAGTCTCTATGATTCAAATCGATCGAATCAGTTTTCCAAGCAACCAATCTATCAGTTAAATGTGTTGTCCATGAAACGATGATGTTCGGGTTTATTGCGTGTGGGTTCGCCGGGCCATAACGAGCGAGATGGAATAATAGGAAATAGAACTAACTAATAACTACCCTAGAATGAAAGAAAATTAGGTGTTGGGTCGCGTGTCGTCGTCGATTCTCTTCGAGGGTCATTTTATGAACGATTGCGTAACGCACCGGAGGCTGCGTCTAACGTTTACACACCTCGTCAACCTTTCCGTTATTATTTATCGCAATTACCGTTCGGAAGACGCGACGACGACGACGACGACGACGATGTCGACCACTCGATCGAAAGTGCAATTTCCTCGTTCCGATTGCAAAAGCCTGTATTATAACGATAATCTTAGAGCGACAGTAATTGTTGTAAATACCCGAGACTTTTCCAAGAGTTAAGTAACAAACAACACGATACGTTATCGTCGAGAGCGCAAAGTTCACTGGGAAAAAAACGAAATTCAAGCTTCGTACGTCTAGCCGCTTTGGTCGAGTTTGGTCATTCTTTCCAAGAGAGAAAAATTCATTTCAGCCGTGTCAGACGTCGTGGATTCGTTGGACTCGTCCAACTTTCCACTGTACAGACTGGGCAATTTGCTGTCCGACGATTCCAAGACATCGAGACTTAACGATAAAGATTTGACCGCTGTCTTGGCCGACGTATCATCGGCGCCGCCGGTACTTCAAGAGAAAGGCTGTTACAATGACAAACTGTTGTATATTTTCACCAGCGGGACGACTGGTCTTCCTAAAGCGGCGGTCATCACCAATTCCAGGTAATCGGCGGACGACCACGACGACCACGACAACGACCACGACGACGATGATGATGATGATGATTATTATTATTATTATTATTATTATTATTATTGTTTCAGGTACATGTTCATAGCGACAGGTATATTTGTGATGGGAAAGTTCCGGAGCTCGGACGTGATTTACACACCGCTTCCGTTGTACCACACGGCTGGTGGTGCGATGGCAGTGGGTTCGGCCCTCCTTCACGGAACTACTGTCGTGATCAGAAAGAAATTCTCTGCGAGCGCTTACTTCCCCGAGTGCATCAAACACAAATGTACGGTAAGTGAAACTACGGACGAAGAGAAATGAAAATATAGAGTCACCGTTTCCGAATTGGGAACCCGTTGTTACGGAGAGTGTGAACAAGGCTGTATCATTTTCAGATCGGACAGTACATCGGAGAAATGTGTAGATACATTCTAGCCGTGCCTGCCAGACCGGAAGTCGACCGGCGGCACAACGTCAGATTAATGGTGGGCAACGGGCTGAGGCCACAGATTTGGCCCGAGTTCGTCCAACGATTCAAAATACCACAGATCGTCGAATTCTACGGAGCTACCGAGGGGAACGCTAACATCGGTAAGAACATCGGCGATTCGCGACCGCGATCGTCATCCTGATCGATCAAGTCTTTGAATTGATTTCTAGTGAACGTCGACAATACCGTTGGAGCCGTTGGTTTCATGTCTCGGATAATTCCGTCGGTCTATCCTATCTCTATCGTCAAAGTGAACGCCGAGGGAGAGCCCGTGAGAAACGCTAAGGGTCTCTGCCAAGAGTGCGAGCCTAGTGAGTGTCCGACTTTTACTCGTCGAAATTTCCTCGAAATTTTTGTCGAAACTTAGATATCGTTCTCTTGGTTTCAGACGAACCGGGTGTCTTCGTTGGTAAAATCGCTAACAATCCGTCTAGAGCGTTTCTAGGATACGTAGACGAGAAAGCGTCGGAAAAGAAAGTAGTTCGCGATGTATTTAGCAAAGGCGACTCAGCATTTATATCAGGTACCATTTATACCAGACGACCACTGCTACTAATTAAAAATTATCCTAACGATCGTAACGGACGATATTTGTGTCGCAGGCGATATTTTAATAGCGGACGAGTTTGGCTATTTGTATTTCAAAGATAGAACAGGGGACACGTTCAGGTGGAAAGGAGAGAACGTGTCGACCTCCGAGATCGAGGCCATCATCAGTAACGTGATCAACTATAGAGATTGTATCGTGTACGGAGTCCAGGTGCGAACGAAACGTTTGTTTCAATTGTTGTACACGTGTCGATCGAATCTGTGCTTCATCCATTCGGTTATTTTTTTTCTTTTTTTATTATCAGATCCCTGGTCTCGAGGGCAGAGCAGGTATGGCCGCGATACACGACGAGAAAGGTACGCTAGACATGAACAAGTTGGCCGTCGATCTGAAGGAGCACTTGGCAAATTATGCGATACCCAGATTTATCAGGATCTTGACAAAGATCGATCTCACGGGTAAGATTCCAGTTGATCAGATCGCGATCGTTGTCGTTCGTTGTCGTTCGTTCGTCGCGTCATCATGCGTCGCGTTCTTTCAGGAACGTATAAATTGAAGAAGAAAGACCTCGTGGACGATGGCTACGATCCAAGGAGGATACAAGACCAACTGTACTACCTGAACGGGAAATCCGAGTACCAATCGTTGACGACGGAGGCTTACGATCAGATTCAACAAGGGAAGATACGATTTTAAGTTCTCTCCGATAAAAAGATCCTTGGAACAATTGGGAGTGGGAACGAATTGTTTCGCTCACCGCGAAACATGAGCGACGATCAAGTTTCTCATTTCCGGTCGTTGTTCCTCCGTCGATGTCAATCAATAATATCTGCATCACGTCGAAATTCGAACGGTGGGATTCGGGGGGGGGAGGGGGTTGGTTCGCTTAAACGTAAGATGAACTTATTTATTTTTCACAATGCTAAAATGCTGATTATTTCCATTGCGCGCGTTTCCAAACTTTCCGAACGGTTTCGTTTATACGATCGAATCTGTATCCACAGTCTTCGTAGCGCCGTTAAATTATATGTACATGTATATGACGAAGACCGGAGGACAGTTGTTTCTAGAGATCGTATCGAGCCTACAAGAGCGAGCCATTCATGCAGCGTACAAAAGACAAAAGGAACACAGTATCGTTCGGATATCTGCCGTCCGAACGGGACTCGGCCTTGCCCGTGAATGGAGAAACGTCCTTCGACGCGGCGAGCGAAACAGTAGCAAGAAAAACTTGTATGAATGGGAGAACTTCTTAGAATCGTTCGTCCTCCGAGCGCGCCGCATGGGTAAAAGAAAACAGTGTAGTGTTACTACGCGCGAGCGAGGCAACAATCGAGAGAGAGAGAGAGAGAGAGAGAGAGAAGAAAACGCCGCCGCCGCTTATGGTTCGGGATGACTCTCAGCCATGCAACCGCACAAACAACAGGCCGCATATCCGAACGGTGCTCTGTCGCTACGATGTATTCTTTTTTAAACGTTTTAAACGTTTTAAACGTAAACACAACGATGGCACATGGAAAATCCTGAGGAAGTAGTCCAACAGGCGAGACTAGTTGATCTACGCGACGTTGTTATTGTTGTGAAATGTAAAAAGCAAGTGCGTACAATTAGCATATGATTGTTGAAAGAAAACTGGAGAAACGTGCCGTGGAACCAAGACTCGAACGGAACATGGGTATATTTATATACTTTACACTACGACTACTAACGCAGCAAACCATTTCCGACTAACCGACCGTCAATACCGTCCGTATGAGTATCTATTCGTTCGAAAGATTGTCAGTCGAATTTCTGTTGATTTTCAAATGCTCTTACGTACCGATTTCAAATAGTTACTGTGACAAACTGTGATTCTAGTGCAGAGTACGAAAATATTGCTACTATTGTGTACACCTGTGTTTACCTGTAATCCGGATGATTATTAAAGCTCGATGTTTTCTACGTGCCAACTTTCGTTCATTTAAATCACATCGACGATCGTCAAGTACACCACCGAGACCATCATCACTTCTCACAGCGTATTCTATTATCTACAATTTTGCGCATTTGGCACCATCATTGTTCATAAACAACCTCTCGATTATCCATATAACAAGAACGTTACGAACCTCGTAAACGCACAAACGTGAAACGTTGAAATCGTGTCAATGTGCACGTTGCACTCGCTATTCACTGATCACTTTACGAAATCTGTACTGTACATCTTGGTGCTTAAGAACACTCCGAACTTCAACGTTGCGCCGCTGGTAGGTTCCAGGAATATATCTTCTTCAACGGCCCACTCGCTGTTCGTGCTCTCTAACAAACAAACAAACAAACAAACAAACAGACAGGGACAATGATCGATCCATCGAAGGAAACGAGGAGATTTTTATTTTAATTAAAAAAATTAATCGAAATCTTACTTGGCTCGACTCGCGAAGGCTTAGAGAATAATGTCACGCGCGGTTTCTTCAATATTATTGTTCGCAGACACCCCATTGTCACCAGTATCTGAAACACAGAACATTGATTGACGCTCGATCGACTCGATGTTTAAAGGCAATCGTATACAATCATACAAATGTGACACAGATGATACTTTCGATGAACTCGTTTACCTCGACTAGCTCGCGAGTGTGGCAAGGTTGAAGAGGCGGAACGAATCTGTTTTGCACTTTGACTAACGGTATCCCCGGATGCGTGAGGCAGTAGGACAAAACCGATCCGAGCATGCGATCGAGCACTCTGCGGTTCACTGCACCGTCTATCCGTATCCACGGTCTTATCGCCACCTTGATCTCTTGCTTCGCGCTGTGAACATCGACCAAGCGTCATATAACGACGAACGGAACGTTACATTATCTATACTGTACTGGGCTGTACTCACTTCGTGTCCAATTGCTTCGGAGTCGCTTTGGTAGACGCGTGATCTTCGTGAGGTGACAATTTTATTCTCTTCCTCTGCGATTTTCTATTCGCTCCAGCATTCTCCTCCGATTCCTCGTCGCTGAACGCGTCCCTGTCCGAGTCCCGGTCGGAATTGCCTCCAGTTCTCGTCACCACCTCGTTGTCGATACCTTTCTCTCTTCCTCCTGATGGTTCCTCCTTCCTCGTTTCGGTGGAGTACACGGCTTTCGCCGACACAGGGACTAGTGCTTCCTTCTCGTTTCTACATATCTTATAAGAGTTTATCAACCAGGAATCAGCGTAGCAGTGATGTACGTATCTGACCGTGGTCACGCCGGCTCGCAGGAACAGGCGATGTTCGGTGAGAAGCGAAACGATACGACGCAAGTCCTCTCCTAATCTGTCGATCTCGTGGAACTCGTCCATCAGCTCCTGCACGCTAGCTCCGAGTTCCCGCTTGTCGCGTACGAAATTATAAACCGCGTCCACGTGATCGTATTTGAACCAACTATTGAGACCGGTCTTCTTAAAATCTGAATACGGAATCACTGTCTTGGGATATACAGCGAATTTGCCTATTTCCTCGATCAGATCGTTCACTCTGCTCAACGTCAAGGGTATCAACTCCGGGGGAATCGGGAGATGTTTGAAGCCAGAATCGTTCGTACCACCGACCGAGTCTTCCGAGCTCCGTTGCAAAGAGTAAAACACTTTGAACATATTGACGACGAAGTATTCGTGCGCGTGGTGACTATCTGCCACCGTGAGTTCGTTCAGTTCCTCTCTCATTCTCAACAACGCTATGCGAGTGTATCGTTTCTGTACATCCGTTTCGTCGATCCTGCTGCTCGAACAATTCTGTCGCATCGAGCTGCGTTTCAAAATTTCGCTGACGCGCGTGTACACGTGTTCGCCGTCTGCTGCGGCTCCTCCGACTTGCGTCGAACCGCCGTTTTCTTTCGAATCGTCGTCGTGCTCAGCGCTGGGTCGCGACGGGTCGAATAATTCCGTCTGTTTCCGGTGGTGATGATCGCCGTCGTCGTCGTCGTCGTCGACGATTGATCCTTTCTCGATCGCTACGAGCTCCGCTCTATTCTCTGACGTTTCTTCGTCCTCTTTGCTTCCTTCCGACTTCCTCTTGTTGTTGTTGTTGTTGTTGTTCTTCTTCTTCTTCCGCACGGGCTCGCCCGAATCGTTTGTCGCTTCCTCGCTACTTTTTCGTCTTTTATTTCCCGTTGAAATTGTCGATTCACTGGACCGAATGACCTCGACGTCTTGACAGCTCGTCTTGTTCTCGGTATCCATCCCGGGTTTACTCTCCTGCGTGAACTTTAAATTGTCCAGACTGGCCAACACGTCCTGGTATCTCTGAGCTATTCGAAAGTACGTCTCGTCCTTCTCTTTCAATCTGGGATCGAGCATTATAACTTGATCAGGTATCTCGACGTCGAAGTCGATTTGATTTCTCATCATGTAGTCCTGCATCGCGGTTACAATTCCCCCGGTGACCGGCAGCACTTCGATACCGTTGAAATGGTCGGTCTCGTTGCTCCGACGGCAGTACCACTCGCTCAGTCTCAAGAAGACGTCGTAAGACTCGTTGAATATCGAATACGGCCACTTTGTTTGCAATTTATAAATGTAAATGTTGCTCAACTGATACTGAGAGCTGCTCATCGGCATGTAATTACCGTATTTCTTTACGGCGGTCACTTGATTCTTCTTCACCGTGACCATCTGATCGTTACGAATCTTTGCCATCGCGTTCCTCAACAAACTTTCCGGATACTGCTGGTATATCTTGAACAATTGATACGCCCACGACCTCCTGTCTTTCCCGCAACACATCGAGCTGTGAATCACAGAGTTGACCACCGCGGAATGTATGTCGGTGGTATTTCGAACGTCTCTCGTGAACCCCCGATTGTAAAACGGTTTCATCGGGTGGACGATCTTGTAAAACAGATTGAACTCTTGCACCGTCTTCGGCACAGACAATGGCTTGTTAGAAGCGACGTCGGAGATATCGTAATACTTCTTGGCGACGTAAGCGACGAGGGATTTAAACTCTTCCGTCACTCGTTTCTCGTGTTCGACCGAGTCCGTGTACTCCTCCTTGAGCTTGTCGACGATACCACCGAAACGTCTGTCGAGGAAAAAGTTCTGTCTCAGTTCTTCGACGCCCAATGTGACCGTGTTCACGTTCCTCTGCTGTTTCAACATGTACAACAAACGCCTCTGGCAGGCTCTGGAAGTTTTGTTGTACGAACTGTACGAGTACGTTCGTAGAACGTCTCTTATCGCGGAGAACGTTATCACTTGCTTACGCGGATTCGGGCAGAGATAGACCATGGCTACTTTACAGATCAATAGAATCTTGTCTTCGTGAGGGTCCCAGTCTACTCGCAATTTGTGCATCCTCTGCAGAGCTCTGTAATCTACTTCGTCGTACTTTATCCGCCGTCTGCCCTTCGATTTTCGAGGCAACACTCTCCTCACGTAAGATTTCTGTCTGGCACTCTTCTGACTGCACTGGAACGGTCGCAACTGCTGCCGTTCGCAACTGCTGCTGTCTTCCTTACTATTCGTCTTCCTTCTGAGCTCGTTCACGTTCACGGAAGGTGGGCCGGAGACGGTTTTCAAACCGGAAAACTCGGTGAATCGAATAGGTTTCGATTTGATCTTGGCCAAGTACGCTTCCCTTTCGTACGTCACCTTCCTCTTCTTTCCTGTCTTCTCTCTCTGGCTGACCGCCGCCGCCGCCGCCGCCGCTGCCGCCACTGCTTCGACGCGCTACGACGACGACGACGATGACGGCGGCGGCGCCGACGATGCCGGCGACAAGCTAGAGTTGAACGCCCAGTTCCAGTTCCTCTTCAGGTGTGCGAAACAAGCTGAATCTATTCCGGCGGCGCCCCTCCGATCACCAGGCACTTTGCCGGTGTCGAGCTCGACGGCCTGTTGCGGTGTCCGAGGTACCAGAGATTGAATCATGTCGCTCTTCTTGTTCAAATCTTCCAACACTATGTCTTTGCCCTGTACCACGAGCCGACCACCCAGAGGCGTATTGATGCACGTGTTCCACATGTCGTACCAATATTTCTCGACCAACTGCAACCCGTCGAAATTATACTTGACCACTGGATACGGTTTGTCTTCGATCCGATGATAATCAGGCTCGGAGGACGTGGTGTCCATTAATTCGGTCTTACGGTTCACGAAGATGTATATCTGATCTTTCTCCTTCAATTTCTGCGGCCCGAACTGTACCAGACCGAGGTAACACAATCGTGTAACGGTCTCGTGAATGTGGAATATGTATTTCCGCGAATGAAACAAAGAATTTCGTATCTCGATCGGCAAGTCTCTCACCAAATAATGTTTTCTGATCGGATGATTCACGTAATCGTCGATCTCTGGCACCGTGTACGAGACGTAGTGAATCTTCAAGAACACCGACAACGGAAGACGCAGAAGAGCGTCGCACATCAACGTCCAGCCTCGGGGCCAGCTCTTGTTCTTGGTCAGAGGCGGCACGAACGTTTTCCAGCTTACAGCGTCGTCGGTGTTGTAAATCGTGGATAATTCCTCTGCCAGCTCGTCGCTCACGTTCACATTTTTATCTCGCAACATCTGAACTTGTTCGGACTTGGACAGGGTCTGTTCACCGGGGTGATCGTACACCAGATAAAATAGGAATTGGTGCAGCGTTTGCATCCGAACGAATTTCGGGCTGTAACCGTACTTTCTCGACGCTTTCGGCCCACACTTGGATCCCGCGGCCTCAGATTTGTTCGCGTCGACGGCGTCGTACTCGTTGGACGCGTTCGACGCGTTCGACGCGTTCGACGCGCTCGGTCGCGCGGGCGATTTAGGTTTCTGAGAGATCATTAAATAGAATTTCAGCTTGGCTTGCTCGATCATCGACTGAACCATCGAACTGTTCAGATCTATGTTCGGCTCGCATATCAGGGTCGAACGTTTCTCTTTGTTGTTCGCGCTCAATCTGAGTACGACGTGTTTCACTAAGTTGTCCCTCGACAGTCTCTTCAACAGTCTTACCAAAGATTTCTTGTCGATCTTTACATCGTACCCTTCCTTGTCCTCCTCCTCGTTGATCATCTTCATCAGTTTGGTCGTGTCGTCGATCACTTGATGCTCTTTCACCGTCTCGATGATCATGTTGGCCCTCCGCAACAATCTGTACGAAATATTCGTGGACACTTCCTTCTCACCCTTCTGCATGTCTTCCATGAATCCGCTTATCTCGTTGTCCGGTTTCTCTTCGTCCGATTTTGAGTCAATCACGGTCAAATCGACCTTTATGTTCTTGTACGCTTCGGCTTCAGATTTTTCCTCGTTCCTCGATACGCTCTCCGAGATCTTTCCTCCGAATCTGTCGACAGATTTACTCTCCTCTTTCGTTACAGTCTTCGTAGATGCGACGTCGCAGAAGGTACGTCTGTACCTGTTTGCACGCTTCGTCAAGCGATATTTGTACAATATTCGATTAGTAACGAGAAACAGAAAGGTCAAGGATCGCTCTTTCGTCGTGTTGTTCGAAACCGTTCCTCCTCCTCCTCCTCCTTCTTCTTCTTCTACCTTGGACACCGACGACGGCGACGACGACGACGACGTCTCGGGCTCGGCTACAATAATTCGATCATTTTCAGTATTCCCCTTGCCCTCGTTCACCGTATCCACTGCGTCGTTCGTCGGTCGGACGATCTCGTTGGTTCTTCTCAGATCATCGGTTTCGTTCACGATCTGTCTTCTCAGCTGTTTGATCTTGTCCACCTGCTCTTGAAACTGTTTACTCAGTTTACTTCCTTTCTCGTACCTCTTGGACACGTACTTGGAGGTCCTCTGTCTACCGACGTCGTTCATGTAAATGGCAGCGATGCTCCTTCTCACCAGATTCCTCAGAATCGTTCTCGACTGAAGCTTCGTCAATCCCATTGTTTTACACAAGCCCCCCTGGCATACTCCTTCGCTCTCGCTCTCGTCGATAGTCTTGTTGGTCTGTTTCAAGTAGGAAGTGGAGAACTTGTGACTCGAAAGGCTCATCTCCTCGGATTCGTACTCCTCCTGTGCGTCCTCTTTGTTCAACGCTTCGACCAGATCGATGTTCGGGTATAACAGTTGGACCACTTTGATCTGCTTCTCCTTCTTCGGATCGCTCTTCTTCTGCCATTCCGCCGGCGTCGCGTTCGGGTACAGCGTTCTATACGGAACCCTGACGTCCGTCTTCACCGCCTTTTGGAAAAACGACGTCTGGAACAGTTTCTTTATCGAATTCTCGATGCCCAATTTACGTTTCAGCTCGTCGTACTCGACCATATAATTAGGCTTCGATTTGAGTATCTTTATAACTTCCTCGGCCAGGAACACTATCTTCGGTTTCCTCTCGACGAAGAATCTCGGAAGGTGCAAGAGGCTGCCGTTGCAGCTGTGACCCCCGGCCTTCTGATGGTGCAGCTGCTTCGTTATCAGTTTGTGTTGCAGTAGTAGCTTTCTGTGATAGAACAGACTCTTCGGGTCTTCCTTCAACGCGTTCAAGCTCAGCTTCCCCTGAGTAACCTCGCCGTGGTACCTCGATCGTCCTATTCTCTCCAGGAAACAGTATTGTATCACGTTGAAGTCGAGAATTGGCGACACATCGACTCCCATCAACGCGTGATTCCTCGCAGTCTGCGACGCGACTATCACCAGTTTCTGTCCATACACTTGGACCATGTCCAAGCTAAGGTTTCTCGCGAGCTCGGTAATATCCTTACGAGTGTGATAAGTCGAGCAGGAGCCTATGATTCCGTTGGCCGTGTCGTTTATAGGACAGTGAGGGTATATGTCTGCCGGTACATTTTCCTACAACAATCGCAGGTCGTCGTCAGCGCGTGTGCACGTGTCAGTGCGGCGTGTCTCGCTCTCTTCTCACGCCGGTATACTTACCGGTTCCAATATGATACCTAAATCGGGGTCCACGAATTGATATCGGTCAAAGATCACGAGCTTCTCCCTCGCTACCTCCAATTCGTAAAACGCAAATTCTCTGACTTGCACGCAGATCGACCAGACTTGTAGCATGAACGATCTTGGAAACGGCAACGGAACACGAAGCCGATTCGCTAAGCGCAGCCATAACGCTGTAATTAGACAACGAGATTAATCGTCGTCACCGTTTCTCCGGTCGACGAGTCGAGCTGTAAACAACTAATACAAATACAACTAATACGAAGGAACGAGCCTCGCTAACCTTCCACGGTTATCCCGTCCAAACCTTCTAACGCGACCTCGTCGATCACCGAATCCACTAAATCGATCGTTTGACACGACACCATTCTCGGTTACAATACGCGGCTTAAAATACGGTGCGAAACAACAAACATTCTCATTGTTTTCGACACTTGTGCTGTGACACAATCGCTCAACCAAACAATCTCCGACGTTCCCAGTGTTCCCACGTTTACTACTGTTACTAACGTAACGTCACGTGATGTTGCGAGTGCCTCGTGGCGCCATCTAGCGTAATCGGCTCGAAATATACACTTTGTATTAGGCAAATATAAACTGATAGGAGGTTCCACTAATTCCTGGTGTGACGTCAGCAACAGTGTTGGGATACGCACACACGCTTTTCCATTCGTTGGCCATTTTGGATTTCTAACCAATCACAGAATATAATCACGGACGCTTATTCGTTGGCCATTTTGGATTTCTAACCAATCACAGAATATAATCACGGACGCTTATTCGTTGGCCATTTTGGATTTCTAACCAATCACAGAATATAAGTTGAAAGAGGTAGCACTAATTCCTGGTGTGACGTCAGCAACAGGAGTTAGTGGTGCCTCCTTTGATTCATATTCTCCTAATATGAGAGACGTGATTGGTTAGAAATACAAAATGGCCAACGAATAAGCGTCCGTGATTGGTTGTTCAAATGGATGTGCAAGAACACACCTTATGGTTAATGGTACCTCCTACCAATTCATATTCTTCTAATACAAAGTCGATTTCCGAGCCAAATATTTCTCTAAAATCGTACTTTATATTAAGAAAATATAAGTTGACAGAAGGTAGCACTAACTCCTGGTGTGACGTCACGATTGCAAGAATTTCATCTTATTTCTACTTATATTAAATAAAGATGACATGGAAAAGGGATTGGATGTCGGTAGAGTTATAGGTTAGGCACGAGACGTTTTAATTTTGTTTAAACTATTTCTTTATTAATTAAACTTTAAGAGATGCACAATAATTCACAAAGAGGATTGTTTACAAATTTATAACTGTTAATTATAAATAAATAATAATTTACAAAGAGGATTTCTTATAAATATGTAACTGTTAATTGTAAATAAATATTAATTGTAAATAAAGATTAATTGTAAATAAATATGTAACTGTTAATTGTAAATAAATAATAATTCACAAAGAGGATTGCTGAAGTATTACTTATAAATTTATCACTGTCACTTTTATCACTGACGCTGGTACCATAGCAATTCCGGAGGCTGTCTCCACTGTTTTTAGAAATCCTGACTGAAAGATATCTGAGACAAACGAAAAGGAATGTTAAAATCATGTAGAATGAAGGAATGAATAATGAGGGAAGAGAAAATATTCTTATAACCTTAAAAATGGAATAGATATCGCTATAAAGATGGAGAGACTCTTAAACGAATTCTTTTTGAACGTCTCTCAAATTTCGTACAATACCAAACAGTAGAAACAAAGTTAAACAATCTATATTTATTAAACCCGTGATGATGTTTCAATGAAACTTGAGAGACACTCAAACAGATTGTTTCCGAACGCGTGTTTAAAGTTTCGACAAAATAGGAACGCTACAGAATCATACAAAACATTTTTAAGAGAGCACAATTAATACTTACTCCTGTCAACGCGAAAGTACAATTCTAGACTGCGTCCCGCATCCGCGTCTCTCTAACGACGACTGTCAACCTGTCAACTGCATGACAATTCCTCTGGTGATGTCCATGAGCTCGGCCGCCTTCGTATTCAAACTGAATCCGCATATCCAAGTCCCGGTAGAGGACAAATTAATTGAATCTATTTTCCTTTCGCACATTTTGTCTGAATACATAAAAGGGAATAATTAAATATTTTTAGAGAAACGGTGTTGAAGTATTTTCTAATTATACTAATGCCATCTAGCGTAATCGGCTGGAAATACACACTCTGTATTAGGCAAATATAAAGTGATAGGAGGTTCCACTAACTCCTCGTGTGACGTAAGCAACAGGAGTTAGTGGTGCTTCCTTTGATTCATATTCTCCTAATATGAGAAGCGTGATTGGTTAGGAATACAAAATGGCCAACGAAGTGAAGCGTCCGCGATTATATTCTGATTGGTTAGAAATCCAAAATGGCCAACGAATAGAAGCGTCCGTGATTGGTTGTTCAAAGGGCGTATGCGCTGTTGCTGACGTCACACGAGGAGTTAGTGGAACCTCCTATAACTTTATATTTGCCTAATACAAAGTGTATATTTCCAGCCGATTACGCTAGATGGCGCCACGAGCAACCCCAACCCGACCACGAACCGAAGCATTGGTTGGCTCCAATATATGCGGCAAATATTGACCAATAGCAGGTCGAGTATTTCGTTCTCGCGGTCTCGCGGTTCCTGCTCGTTCCATTCGATTCGGCCGGTGGTGAGGTTAGACACGTGGTTCATTCGTGGTCTATCGTCGATTCTTCCCGATTATTTCCCGTTCGTCGATCGACGATCGTCGTCCTTTTGCGTTTCGCGATTCTTACCGTGTGTACGAATAAACCGTGGAAATGTCGTTTCGTGGTCGTGGAGGTGGCGGTGGATTTGGTCGTGGAAGAAGGGACGGCAGAGGATTCAGAGGAGGACGCGGAGGCGGCGACAGGGGCAGCAGAGGGTAACTGTTTTTTCGATTCTACGCGACGTTTCTTCTTATTGATGCGTGTTCAGTGTCGCGAGACCGTCCGTCACGCTCTTCTATCTCTTTGTCCTGTGTGGTGTACAGGTTTGACCAAGGACCGCCGGAACGAGTGACTCCCCTCGGTCGTTTCACGTGGACGGTCCAGGACGACTTGGTCGCTAAGGTGGAAATTGAGCAGATACCTTTTTTCAATGCTCCCATTTATACGGAGGCTAAGCGACAAATAGGGAAGATCGACGAGATTTTTGGAAACATAAGAGATTACTACGTGTCTATAAAACTCTCGGAGAACGTCAAGGCAGCTAGTTTCCAAAAGGATGTTCAGGTACGCTGGTACGCGCGCACAGTTTCTCGGGACCGAGTTCGTGTCCTCCGCGACTTTGCGAACGGTCTGAAACGTGTTTCGTTTCTCGTTTCGTTCGACGACTGTGAACGAATGTCCCCAGAACGTCCGAGTGCCTGACGTTGCGTTTCGCATTGCAGCTCTTCATAGATCCAGCCAAGTTGTTGCCGCTGCAAAGGTTCCTCCCGAAACCTCCCGGATCCAAGGTGCAAAAGAGAGGAAGAGGAGACGGTGGTGGACGAGGAAGAGGATCCAGAGGAGGCCCTGGTGGTGGACGTGGCCGAGGTGGCGACGGAAGACCGCCGTCGTTCGGAAGAGGACACGGCGGCTTTGGAAACAGAGGTGGCGGTTTTGGGAACAGAGGTGGCGGTGGTGGTTTCAGAGGACGCGGATTTGGACGTAGTGACGGCGGTCGTGGAAGAAAATGATGGACCGATGGAACGTGTCGTTTTTCTCTGTAAAGGCGGTGAATCGAGACTGGGATCTTCTCCGCGGATCCGACCTTGGATTTCTCTGTGTGTCTGTGTGTGTGTGTGCGTGTGCGTGTGCGTGTGCGTGTGTCGTGAGAACAACGAGCGATTTATATTTCATTCACAGCGTATATTTCAATAAATTTTGTAGTTACAAACATGATCGTGCTGCTGCTGCTGCTGCAGTTCCTGTTTACGATTCTTTTTTCCCCTCCCTGCGGCGATCCCTCCCCGCCGCCGATTCTCGGTGGCGAGGTACTTGGCGCTCAGACTTCGTCGAACTTTATGTGCTTCCCCAATTCTTTCTCTGCTTTCTTCAACAGTTTGTTTCTTCCTCTTTGCTTCGGTCGAACTTTCTTCGTCAGTTTCTCTTCCCTGTCGTTCAAAATCTTGTCCCAATACGCTTTCTCTTCCTCACCTGTGTGCATGTAAACGTGAGTTGGAGACTTCGTTTGTGAACAAAGCTGTGCTCTTACCTTCCAAGATAGCCGCCTGCTTTTCGTCTTCCTCGTCCACCTCGTTCGACTTTCGCACCAACGCCTGTGCGGCCTCGTTCGTGTCGCACCTCACGTGAGCGACGTGAGAACCCTCCTCGACGTCGATGTACTTCACCGAATTTCCGTTCTTGTTTCTTAATTCCGCCTGAAACGATATACGTGTGTGTGTGAGTACGTGGTGTCTAAACGTGTAGAGTTCTGTGCTGGGCCGCGGCGACCGAGTGATAGATGCGTGTTTCACCACCGCCGCCGCGGATGCTGCGATACCTTCAAACTTTTTGGATCCGTGCACGGTTTCTCCATCTCGATCTTTACTATGACACCCGGCGTGAATGAAAAGCGACACGGCGTGTTTACGACGTCCTGTTTCTTCTCCTTGTCTTCGCTTTCCTCGTTCCCCACCTCCTTCGTCTCACTCGTTTTGTTCTGCTCGCCGCGGTTCGACCATTGGTTCCACCTGGCCTTCCTTAGATGTTGTTTCAACTGCTTCATTTTGTTTCTTTGCAACTCTAAATACTTGTTCCTCAACTGTTTCCAATCTCTTTTGGCCATCACTTGCAGTCCCATACTGTCACTGCTGCCGGTACCGCTGCCGCTGTCGCCGCCGACCTCCTCTGTTTTGCTACGCTTCTTCCGCTTCTTTCTCTTCTTCTTCGTCGTCGTTGTCGTCGCCGTCGTCGTCGTCGTCGTCGTCGTCGTCGTCGTCGTTGCCGTCGTTGTTTTATTGCTGTTCTTCCTCTTGTCCCTCGTGTTCTCTAGCTCCGGAGTTCTGTCGTCGTCGTCGTCGTTGTCGGTTACTGTCCGATCGTTCGATACTCGGTCGTTCTCGTCCTCGATCGTCGCGATACTTGAACGTGCTTCGACGTCGCTCTGTTTTTCGTTGTCTTCGTCGGTCTTTGTATGCTTGGATTTCTTTTTCTTTCTTACCGATTCGTCGTCCCGCTGCTGCTGCTGCTTCTTCTCCTCCACCGTCGTCGATTCTGAATGTTCTGCTGTCGAATCGTTACGCTTTCGCTTTTTACTCTTTTTCTCCTCTTTTTCTCTTCTCGTCTTCTTCTGGTCGTCGTGATTCTTCTCCTTCTGGTTGTCGTCCGGTTCGGAGGTATTCGTAACGTTTGTTTCTTCTTCGTTCTCGTTGTCCATTTCCATTCCTTTCCTCCGTTCCTCCTCGTCGTCGTCGTCGTCGTCATCGTCTCCGTCGCCGTCGTTCTCTGTTCTCGGATTTTGCTGCTCTTCGTTTAGATTTCCTCTGATTCTTTTTACCACGTCTTTCTCTGGCTCGTCGAAAGTAGTTATGCTGAGTAGTTCCTCGGGAGCTGTGTACGAAGGTAAGATACGTCCCTTCTTTTGAAATGCCTGATGCGGGACAAACCGGGACAATGAGAAACACGGATAGATAGATCGATGATACGACGATAACGATTGACGAGACTTTGCGATGTTTTCGTGTCTCGCGATGACGTTTCATTCCTACGTCTATCTACGCTTACCTTTAAACATTCCTCGGCACTCTCGGGTTCGTCGAACTCGATGAACGCGAAACCCTTGATTTTCCTGTTCTGGTTGTTGTTGTTGTTGTTGTTGTTGTTATTAGTGTTGCTGTAGTTTTTCTTGAACCTGGGTATCGAGACGTATACGACTTGGCCGTACTGGGAGAACATGGATTTCAGTGTTTCGTGGTCCGCGTCCGGAGGCAAATTTTGTACGTACACCGTGCAGTCGTC